TTTTAGTTTGTAAAATATCGTATTTTCAAGATTCTAAAATATTAATAAGTAATTCAATGCTAAGATTCTAAAATTGTTACTAAAATAATGTTTATTTAAAAAAATATTCGAGGAATGCAAAATCTTGAGATTTTGAGATTCTAAATTCCCAAGATTGTTAGATTTCAAAATTCTAAAATTTCTAATTGATTCAAGAATTTGAATTTCTAAGATTATGCAGCGGTGGTACCGTCGTAAAAGTAATTTCATCATTGCACATTTTGTGTCAGCGAATTATTAACCTCTCACGTTCTCACAGTATTATTTTATCTTTGGTGTTTAACCTTAATCCCGAACCCATCTGCGGGTACCCTATTTGGTACCCACTTTCTCGATACGGAGAAATGTGATCTTGATCTGAAAATGCATGTATTACGAGGCCGCGCATCACTTGTTTTTATTGCTGGTACTACCAAGTGGTACCATAACCGGATTTAGCAACTTCCAGTCTTGTTCTGATTGAAGTGTTAACTGAAGTATTAAAGTAATTACCGAGATGAACAATGGTACTTACATAACGAGTCTAATGAGGATTATGCTAATCCGTACAAGGTTTTCAATGGCAGTACCTTATGGTACCCGAAATGACCCAATTGGGTTCCCAAACACACTTTCTACTGTTTCAAAACTGTACTTTTTTGTTTCAGGATTGGCAATACTGTTGTATGCTGGGTACTGTACACGACCGATGGTACGTCAATTGGTACCTCACGATTCAACTTTTTAATTAATTTTTTTTTAGAATTGTTTGGAACCCAATGAGAAATTTAATGAAGAAGACTTAGTTTTCTATCAAGGAGTCACCGGAAAACCCGGAGTCGACTTTCCGGTACTATCCCACATCCCTCGTACCACTTTTAGTTGTCGGGACGTGGACTCCGGTTATTACGCCGACTTAGAAACGGATTGTCAGGTACCACCCCAAGTCAAAATTTCTTCAATTTCATCAATTTTTCCAGGTTTTCCATATTTGTGAAGAAGGGAAGAAGATTTCCTTCCTGTGTCCCAATGGTACCATTTTCCAACAATCGGAGCTCATTTGTGAGTGGTGGTTCAAGGTCAATTGTACCGACTCGCCCAACTTCTATGAAGAAAGTGCTGAACAATTAAGAGAAGATAATGCGAGAAGAAAGGCTTCGAGAAGAGTACCAAATCATGGTGCTATTATGCGAACTGAGGAACATTCTTCCGTTTCAGCAAGTCAAAATGGAAGAAAGTTTGAAGTTGGTACCACTTTTCAGGAAACTAATGACTTAGCAAGAGCCCAAAGTGCGGATTTTGTGAGAGATCAGAAGAATAAGAAAGGAAGAAAACCGGTTCAGTTCCAGACGCAACCGACTGTAAATGAAGAAAGAAATTTTGGTACCACCATTGGAGATCAGAAGAGCAGAGCAAATGGAAGATCTAACAGTCAGTACCAAAGTGGTACTACTGCAGTACCACAACACAATAGACAATCTGGACGAGATGGCAGAAATTACAATCAGTTTGGTACCACCTCGCCACAAAATAAAGACAGAAAGGTGGTACCAAACAATCAGCAAAGTCAAAATAGAAATCAAAAGTTTGAAGCAAATAGAAAAAGTTCTAATATTTTTGGTACTTCCGTTGTGCCAAATAGCAATTTCGAATCAAACCAAAATGCCAATTTTCAACAAAAAAGTAATAATTTTGGTACCACAAATAATGACAAAGTAGTACTTAACAATAACCAAAACGTTAAACACAACCAGAATTTTGGTACACGTGACGAGAATAATAACCATTTTAATAATAATTTCCGGAACCACAACCAAAATAATGGTTTTGGTACCACTAACGAAATTAAGAATGTGGTATTGAATTCAATCAACTCTCAACAAAATCAAAATCAGAATAAGGATAACGAAACTAAAAAAAATAATTTTGGTACCAATGCAGTTGATAAAAAAGTGGTACCAAATCAATTTAACAATCGGCAATCATCACAGAAAAATGATAATAAAAATCGACAAGAGGAGTTGAGCCCATTTTTTAATAATGGTTTCCAAGATTCAGATACTGACAGTACCGAAAGTACCGAGAAAAAATCATTTGGTTCCAATTTGAGTTTTTCTCAACAGTCAACATTCAAAGACCGAAATTTTAATTTAAATGAAAAGAGCAATCAAAAAGTAGAGGAAAATAACCGTGGTACCACTTTTGGGTTCAGTACCACCACCACGACGCCAGAACCAAGATACAGTCAAGCAAATAATCAACAAAGTACCACTTCTCAACCCAATATACAAAATCACAGGTTGAGTACTACTATTGGTACCACTCTCCAACCTAACGTCGCGGTACCATTCACAAGTCCCAACTTGCAAAATCACCGATTAAGTACCACCAGTCAGGAACCTCGGCAAACCAAACTTTTCAACATTGACGGGAAAGGTAGTACCATTAAACAAACAAGTACGGTACCATTGACCCGAAACGATATAGTAAATCGGCGATTGGAACCAAGCGACTCTGATGAGTCTCAAATAACGCAAGAAACGTCGTCTTTTTATAAAAATTCGTTTAATCGAATTGATCAAACTGTCAAACCTACGAGTAATCCGCACCCGAACCATAGAAGTACCTATAGTGAAATCAAGGAACCCAAATTTCACTCAACCAAGGCTTATACTTCCCTTTCTTCAGTCACTCCGCAATATTTGACCACACAACCCATAAATAATGGACGGCCGTTCATAGGAAGCCAGGTTGGTACCACCTTGAGAGGGTTTGGTACCACCAAAGCCGTGACTTACTTTACAACGCCCAGATCAGAAACAAGTTTTGTTGGTACTACTTTGGGTACTTCGACAGTGGTACCAACCGAAATTTTTAATATTGGTCGTACCGATAAATCGTTAAAACCGGTTTTTTCAACACTGTCAACTTTCACACCTTTACCTCCTTTAAATCTAACGGTACCATCACAAGGTTCCTTCAATACGGGTACTCCGAGTCCAACAATCAAGAGTAGTACCAACAGGGTTCCTGACCATGCTACTGTCTACGGGAAGTTTGTTAAAAGTGGAGCAACGACTCCAGCTACAAGAACCAAAATTTTATTATCAAAATCAGTTTTTGGTACCACTCCTAAAACATCAGCTGAAATTTTAAGTACCTCCGATAGTTACAATCGAGGCAACTCGCAAGTCCGTTTTTTCGGAAAGGTTCATACCACGAACAAAGTACCAAGCAGCACCGCTTTACCTTTGTCATTCGGAACCACCATTGGTACCACCCTGAAACCCACACTTCCCGGTTTCTTCGTTACCAAAAATGCAATTCCAAGTGAAATAGTCCGCCCTCGGCCCTTCCAACTCCCCCCTGAACCAGATTTCGGCCAACCCATTTTTGGTACCACCCAAAATCAAGTCACTACCCCCAAACCGACCTACCCCACGTACAAAATCTCATCAGCGAGTCCATTTTCAGGCCCATCCACCCCCGAACCAACCCTCCCAACGCCTTTTACCACCACCCAGGTACCACCCTCAACTTTTGAAAGTGTTGATAGTATGATAACAGCTTTGGCCGAAATGGCAAATAACAACTTCACTGATAGTCCAAGACCTGGCCTTGTGATCCCCCCTTCAGCCGGCCCTCAAACCCTCCACACACTTGCCCAGTATTTTGCAAATGCTTTGGATGGAATTGGTACCGAGAAAGAAGATGAAGAAGAAGGGGATGAAGAAAACTTGACCAAAGTCGAGTTAGAGAAGAAGAAATTGACCGAATTGTTGACCCAAATGACCATGAATCGTTACAATGAACTTTTCCACGAGGAGAGTACCACCGTGGTACCAAGAACCAAAAGTGACGAAGATAACGATTTGGAAGGGCAACATTCGAAAAGCCCGGCGACCCCAAAAGTCCGTCAATTGGCCAAAGTCTTCACCCAAGCCCTATCGTCGTACCTTGACGACCCTGCCACCTTCAAAAAGGTACTAGAGGAGGTACGACCCACGGAACCACCGGCTCTTGACAACGAGGAACCCGATGACGAATTATTGAACTTCTCAGATGCTGACACCAAATCGAGCTTTTCACCCTTTTTCCCACCCAAAGTACCAGCGGTACGACCCACATGGGGGTACCTAGTTGCCTACAACACCACCCCTCACAATCTCGACGTGAAAAACTCCCTTGGGGGGACTGAAGAGAACTTGCAAGGGGCCGATAGCCAATCATTCGTGTCACAATTCAACAAACTCCAGAACCAAGTGGAAAGTACCACTGGTACCTCGGTACCACTCCCGGAGGACCACTGGACTACGTCTCCTGACGCTACCAAATTGTGGAAAACGGCGTTTTCCTTCGACCCGGCGTCAATCAACCACAATTTTGGTACCACCGAACCAACTGGTACCACAACTGAAGAAGTGGAAAGCCACCATGAAATTCGCTACGAATTGCGAGCCTTGCCTCAACTTGAACTAAACTCGACTCAAGTTCACGGAATTTTGATCGATTTTATGAACACGACGAAGAAAGACGAAGATAGCCGATTACAGAGGATCCTCCGGAAGCTCAACACCACCGAAGACGAATTCTTGGCCAAAATGAGGGAAATCGAGGCGAATCCGCTCACTCGAAGACTTATTCTTCTCCTGATAAGCGAATGCGGGAATGGTACCCAAGCGGTACCACTCCACACTTTACTCACCAACAGTACCGAATTGCTTCAAACGGCGAGTAGTACCCATGGTTCCGGGTTCAAGATTGTCGATCCGAGTCTGGATAATGACAGTCAGGATGCAAGGGCCTTGCAATTGTTGAATTCTTTGTATACTATAGCTTCGAGGTTTGGAAAATGAGATCGATTAGGAAATTGAGTGAATGGTTCCGAGTGATATTAGTTAAGTATTTAAGATTTTTTATCATTTTGTTAATTCCTATCAATCATAATCGTAATGTAAATTTTGTAAATAAATTGTTATTTTATAGCACGCTCTTTTTCATTGATTTAAGGGTACCACCAAAATGGATGGTACCAAAAGTCTTTTTTTAGTAGCATTAATAAAACACAGTCCGCGCATTCAAAATTTAAAGTAATTGAGTTAATAGTAAATATAAGTAGTTTTTGGTACTACCATCTCGTGGTACCACCAAAACATACTATTTTGTGTGATAATAAAATATCATTTTGGAAAATAAATAGTAATAAAAAGTAATAGTAGAGGATAGGGTAGCAAGGTGGTACCTATTTTAGGATATTGGTACTACTATTTCATTGGTATAAGGGTACCACCAAAATAGATGGTACCAAAAATCTATTTTTAGTGGAACTAACTAGAAACTGATATCAAATCCTGTCAGATTTGAAAATATGAAAGTAAAAATTATAGGGGCTCGCGGCTTTGCCGCTCGCCCTCTTTTTAGACCTCTCTTTTTTATTGATATAAGGATACCACCAAAATAGAAGTACCAAAAGTCTTTTTTAAGTAGCATGAACTAGAAACTGATATC